ACAATCGCGTGTACTGCTCTGGGCCGGGCTACACTGAATTACACCCAAGTATCAAACATTATCTAATTTTCGACGGTTCAGAGCGGTATACATAATTTATTGACGCGATTTTTTGTGACGTGTCAAGGCCCCAATGTACCCTCAGCAGCATCTCTTCCTGCCCATATTTAGTTGCCTGGAGCTGCAGCATGTTCAGTTGCCAGGTTGTGCATTGTCTGCTAGATTGTAACGCCTGTGGGGCTTACACGTAAGGGTATGAGAGCATCCGCTGCGCCTCAAATACAACCCTCGTTTTGACCCAGTGGGTAGCGAGGTGTTACATTTGGTCTCAGAGCCTGGGGTTCGATTCACGGCTGGGTCACATTTGAATGTGCCAGTCGCGAACCCAGTGAACGATCCGCCGCTGGCCTGGCCCACCAGCGAAGTCGCTGTAGAGCGAGATTCAGGTCCTTGCGAGGGCCGACTCCCTGCCCAACGAGGACGTTGGCTCCAGGGGGGGACGAGTGTAACGCCTGTGGGGCTTACACGTAAGGGTATGAGAGCATCCGCTGCGCCTCAAATACAACCCTCGTTTTGACCCAGTGGGTAGCGAGGTGTTACATAGATGGTGGGCAATCCAGAATATTGAAGGTGCTAAAAGGTGATGGTATAGGAAGTGCTTTTTGGCAGCAGTCCTAGCAGCTCACAACAATCCAGGGCCAGGTCGCAGCGAACCATTGCCTCACCGCACTTGCCCTGCCACTCGCACCAACGCCCCCTGTGCCGCTTGGGTCGCAGCGACCCCCCCTCCCACCCTCACTCCAACCACACATGCACTCCTCGCCCCTGCAGGCATTGCTGGCAGCGCTGCCACCGCCTTGGCTGCTGGGGAGACCTGAGCCACCATGGCTGTGCCTCGGCAGACCCACAACGAGGGGAGTGGGGCAACCCACGTGCAAGCGAGGGAGAGAGGGGAGGTGGACGAGGTGGAGGAGGTGGAGGAGGAGGTGGAGGAGGAGGAGGTGGAGGGGATGGAGGGAGAGGCGGAGGAGGGGGGTGAGAGGGAGACCTTGACCAACCGGAGGGATTGAATGGGGTTGAGTATGATGATGAGGTAGTTGATCTTTGCGAGAGTGTTGCTGCAAGGGGGAGACAAGGGGGAAGGAATAACAGATAGGTTGGGAGGGGTTGACGATCAAAGCAGCGGTACTTGTTTCTCCCTGAGGGTAGTGGTGCAAAAGGGGGAGAGGCAGGTAAGAATACAAAGGAATGGGAACATGGTAGCAAGAGACGGTTGAGGGGGGTGCTGAGCGATGACAAGGCAATGCATGTTGGTGGGATTGTTGCTACTACAGAGGAGTGCTGCGACAACATGGAGGGTTGATAAGAGGGGCTGCCAATGCTGTAGTTGGTGAGTGGGTTGCTTCCAGCGGGTTCGGACAGAGACATAGCGACGTGCTAAAGTGGCACAATAGCAATGGCACTACGCACGTGGAGCATACAGGCATGGTGATAGCACACTGCCGCGGGCAGTAACTACACTCGTGTAGAGATGACAGGCACCCACGTGGAGGGGGCAGCAATCACTCACATGGAGGAGACAGAGACTGTGGCGCCTCCCTTGGCTGCTCCGCATAGCGAGGCAGCCGCAGTGGGGTAGAGCACCGGCGTGAGCGCCGAGGGGACTGGCGGGGTGTACAGGAAGGAAACAAGAAGATGGTGTTAGAATCCTCACAAGTGGGCTCCAGTGGCGGACAAAGGGAATGACTGCTACAATTGAGGAGAAGCATGCAGGAATGTTGAGGGGTGCAGAGAGTTGTAGCAGGGTGCAGGACGATGTGCGGCATCAAAAGACATTATCTTCCTTTAGTGCATTACTTGATTTTCCATCCTTATTCCCTCCCTACTCGAACCCACCACACCCTACCTCCACACTCTCTCCACCCGTTACCACCACTCTCCACCCCTCACCACATGCTAACCCCACTCTGCACACCAGCTCACCAGTGTAGAAATACGCCTTGGCTTGAGATAACGTGCCAATGCTGCTGCTGCCAGCGCCCACCACCGCAGCAGAGAAACCAATGCCACTGGTACCACTCGCAGGGGTACCACTCGCAGTGGCACCACTCGCAGTTGCACCACTGGCAGTGGCACCACCGGCAGTGCCAGCAGAAGCAGCAGCAAGGAGAGCGGCAAGGGGAGCAGCGGGGAGGGGAGGCGAGGCAGGCGCGCCCGAGCAGTGCCACACGGAAGGCGCGGGCTGAGCGCAGGCGAGGGGGGGAAGGGGGATCGTGATGACGGGCTGCCGCTGTTGTCTCTGATATAAAGCAATTCGTTTGGGTACAGTGGCTGGCCCGGTAAACACGAGAGTATAGCGAAGGTTGTATTTTGTGGCACTGTGGGAACGGGCAGAAGGAGGGAGGGGGTGAGATGGTATCAAAATTGAGTTCAAGACAGCTACTTGACTGCAGAATTGTTAAGTGCGGGCGAACGAGCTATTGGTGCGGGCGAGCAGTGCAAAAACGTTGTTGCTTACTTTCTTTGAACGAGCAGGCTGAGAGTGTTCGCCCTGCTTTGTCCGAAAAGGTGATCACGAGGTTTACTGCCAATAGGAGCGGCAATGTTGGAAATCCAATGCGCGGATAAGGATAGAAGCTTTGGGTGGAGAGTTGGCGGATGGTGAGGCACGCGATGGGATGGTGAGGCACGCGATGGGATGGTGAGGCACGCGATGGGATCATCGCGAAAAAACCAAGCACATAAAGTTGCTTCCCTGCAGCTTCAAAGTTGCTTTTCCGCAACTTTTGTTTCGCAAAAAAAAAGTCTAGGTCAAAGGCTTCTGGGTCAGGGTTACAGGGAAAGTGGTTTTCCCGCAACTTTCCCGCAGCTTTTTAGCAACGTTTCCGGCAACATGGCCGCAACCCGCACGGCGTCATGTGGGTCGCTTCTACGTCATGTAGCTGCCAGTGACATTTGCGTCACCATGCGGACACTCCACGGTTACACCTGTGTGTTGCCACATAGCTGCCGATTAGCATACATGAAGTCACTATTCCACGTCAGCATAATATTTACACGTGTAATCACGCTTTATGACAGGTGGATGCCAGACCATAACGAATCGTATCGCGCCGCATGTACGGTCGAGATGGCCACAGTCGTACGGACGCGATTGTCGCGTGGCAACTCCACTATGCCAACCGCAGCACGGCACATGGCCGCACCGGATACGCCGACAACCTCCAGATCTCACACCCATACGCCTCATCTCTACCATCCGTCCGATACAAATGTCATCCCACGATTTGTAGTGGAATCCACCTGTACCTACACACGCCGTCCGTTCGGTGATAGGGTTTTCCAACTAGGACTACTGATACCAATCGCACGTTCACCCGTAATCGTCGCAGATCTCACGATAACACACCAGTGACCATATCCATCACACACGTGGCAAATAGCCATTAGACACCGTCGTCGGGCAAAAAAAAAAGCCGCGTCTCATTGATGAACGGTTCGGCAGATTGTACGGTTGCCCTCTATCCACGTCGCTAGACTAGCGTGACATCTAACGGCTCCTATTTACCGCGCCGCATTTGTCGCCGCGATTAGTGCCGCATTTGTCGCCGTACAGCGCGGAATGCAGAGAGTTGCGTTTCAACCATCCTCGTGTCCAACATGCACAAGGTCTCCGCTAGGTGTGCAATATCCAAGATATATGTCACCGATTTACTGCACAAATGCACTGAACCAACAACAACCACAACCTGTTGTCAGAACATTACATAGCTTATGCTGTTGTGTAGGCTATAGTGGGGTATCCCATAGGGGGTACAACCCAATTAGGGTTTCATATTTGTATCACTTTCATTCCATAGTCATTCATTCGTGTTCTTTAGTTTCACATGGTATAGAGCACGTTCCCTGTGGGAACTTCGCCTAGGGACCACCGAAGCGCGCCCCGAGGCGCGCGATTTTTTTTTTTTGCGACCCTCCGTGTCGCCCTTCCCCTCACGGCCCCGCTGCCCTTATCGCGGCCCCGCCGCCCTTCAGACGCGGCCCCGCCGCCCTTACTAGCGGCCCCGCCGCCCTTTCTAGCGGCCCCGCCACCCCTTCGAGCGGCCCCGCCACTCCGTCGCGGCCCCGCCGCCCCGTCGCGGCCCCGCCACCCAGTCACGGCCCCGCTGCCTCTTCCTCGCGGACCCGCCGCTCCGTCGCAGCCCCGCCACTCCGTCGCGGCCCCGCCGCCCCTTCGCGGCCCCGCCGCCTCTTCCTCGCGGCCCCGCCGCCCCGTCGCGGCCCCGCCACTATGTCGCGGGCCCGCCGCCCCGTCGCGGCCCTGCCACCCAGTCGCGTCCCCGCCGCCCCCTTCGAGCGGCCCCGCCACTCCGTCACGGCCCCGCCGCTCTACCTGCGGCCCTACCGCCGCCCTATCTGCGGCCTTGCGCCGCCCTTCCTGCGGCCCACCCGCCGCCCTACCTGCGGCCCACCCGCCGCCCTACCTGCGGCCGTCCCGCCGCCATACCTGCGGCCGTCCGCCGCCCTACCTGCGGCCGTCCCGCCGCCCTACCTGCAGCCGTCCCGCCGCCCTACCTGCGGCTCATAAGCCGCCCTACCTGCGGCCCACCCGCCGCCCTACCTTCGCGGCCCAGCCGCCCTACCTACGTGGCCCTGCCAACAGCCGAGCCGCCCAGCAGCACCCGAGCCACCCAGCCGCAGCCGAGCCGCCCAGCAGCAGCCAAGCCGCCCGGGAGCAGCCGAGCCGCCCAGAGCCGCTGAGCCGCCCAGCAGCAGCCGAGCCGCACGGGAGCAGCCGAGCCGCCCTGGAGCCGCCGAGCCGCCCAGCAGCAGCCGAGCCGCCCAGCAGCATCCGAGCCGCCCCGCAGCAGCCGAGCCGTCCAGGAGCCGCCGAGTCGCCCTACTACCGGGCCGCCCGACCTGCCCTGTCTAGTGAGCACGGCACTGCCCTACTGCTACTGCGTGCCCTTCCCCACTACTTGCACTGCTAGTCTGTCGTCATGGCTACCCCCAGTGTCCTAGCTTTTGACGCTGAGGGCAGAGCCATTGACTTTGAGGTCTGGGTCGACGACCTGCAGTTGTTCTTACAGTGCGATAGGGCGGACGGTCTTTCTCTTTTTGACCTCACCTCTGGCGCCTCTCCGGCTCCTGCTGCTGATGCTGACCCCACTGTTCGCTCTCAGTGGGCCACCCGCGATGCTGCTGCACGTCTTGCTGTGCGTCGCCACTTGCCCACCACTGAGCGCGCACACTTTAGTCAGTACAAGAGTGCTCAGACCTTGTACGACGCTGTAGCTGCGCGCCACTCTTCCCCTGCCACTGCTGCACTGAACCGTCTCATGCTACCGTACCTCTTTCCTGATCTCACTGCCTTTCCTACTGTCGCTGATCTCATTACGCACCTTCGCACTAGTGACACTCGCTACCGCGCCGCCCTTCCTGCTGAGTTCTGCGCCAAGAACCCCCCCCCCATGTACATCGCTCTCGATTACATAGTCACTCGTCTCCCTGACTCCCTTCGCGTAGTCAGGGACCACTTTCTCTAAGTCTGTTCCACCACCCTCACTGTCGACCTCCTCGAGAAGGCCCTCCTAGCGGCGGAGAAGAGTATAGTCGCCGTAGGAGCCTCTCGTGGAGACCCGCGCACCCCCATCTTTGAGGGGTGTTCCCCTTCCCCCCTGCTGCCCTCTGTTGCCTCTTCTGCTGCTGCCGACCTGCTTGGTCTTGAGCCGGTTGGCGCGGCGTCTGCCCCTAGCGGGAGACGCCGCCCTGGCAAGGGCAAGGGGAGCAAGGGCGCGGGTGGAGCTGGCGGGGGCGGTGGGGGTGGCGGTGGAGGCGGCGGAGGGAGTGGGGGTGGCGGTGGGAGTGGTGGCGGGAGTGGTGGAGGTGGTGGCGGCAGCGGCGGCGGAGGTGGTGGCGGCGGAGGCGGTGGGAGCGGAGGCGGTAGTAGTGGCGGAGGTGGAGGCGGTGGTGGCGGAGGAGGTGGAGCTGGTCGGGGTAGTGCCCCGCAGAGGAGCGGCTCTGATGGTGGTCCACGTCAGCAGCAACAGCAGCAGCAGCAGGGTTCTCGGGACATCCCCCCGCCTCAGCAACTCCGTGAGTGGTACGCGCAGAGTGAGCGTGGTGGAGGTGCTGGACCGTGCACCTACGTTCTTCGCAGTGGCGACCGCGCGGGTGAGCAGTGTGGGGGTGCCGACGCCACCCGGCGTTGATTTGGCCGCCTGACGGACGCTTGGCGTCAGCAGTTCCCTGACGCCTCTGAGATCCCCCGTTGGGGAGACCTTTCTAGAGCTGGTGTAGCGATCTTTGAGCTAGACTTTGATGCTATTCTTGCTGCCATGTATGCTGTGTCTATTAGTGATGCGGGTGACTGTTACCGGTGTTTCCCGCCCGACCCGGGCATTGGTACTGCCGCGCTAGGTACTTGTGAGGCGTCTGCTCTAGGTGCCAGTGCGTCTGCGCTCTCAGGTACTGGTGAGGCTGCGCTCTCAGGTACTACGTCGGCTTTGGCCTCCCTCACTTTCACTCTTGACTCAGAAGCTTCTCGCTCCTTCTTTCGAGACCGCACCACACTCACGCCGCTTGGTCGGCCGGTTGCAGTCTCCCTGGCTAACCCCTATGGGGGTCCTGTCCTCTCTCACTTTTCCACTGTCCTCTCGTGTCCGGCTGCCCCCTCGGGCACCCTGTCTGGCCTGTACCTCCCCTCGTTCTCTACGAACTTGGTGAGTGCTGCAGACCCGCAGGATGCGGGGGTTCACCAGTTCACTCCTGCGAGTCAGCGTGTGACCCACTGCACGGACGCACGCACAGGTCGGCACCTGGCCACGTTCTCGCGTCGGCCGGGGTCGAGCCTCTACACCCTGTCCACTGAGTCTCCTCCTGTCCCTGCGTCGGGTCAGGTGTTTGCTGCTGCGTCCCGGTCTGGCCCGGAGTCTGCCCCCTGTTCGTGTCGCCTCCTGTCTCACGAGACTCTCCTGTGGCACCACCGTCTTGGTCACCCCTCCTTGTCTCGTCTTCCGGGCATGGCTTTGCGTGTCCTTGTCTCTGGTCTCCCCCGGTCTCTCCCTCCCCTTCCTTTGGGACCAGGACCTTCCTGTGTCCCCTGTGTCGAGGGGCGCCTCCGGGCTGCTCCTCACTCCTCCCAGTTTCCCCCGACAGAGGCTCCTCTGCAGACACTTCACATGGACGTGTGGGGCCCGGCCCACGTCCGTGGGCAGGGTCACGAGCGCTACTTCCTGCTGGTGGTTGACGACTACTCGCGTTACAACACAGGCTTCCCCTTGCGCAGCAAGGGTGATGTCATTGAGGTGTTGATCGACTGGATCCGCGCAGCTCATCTCCAGCTCAGGAGGAGCTTTGGTTCGGACTTTCTTGTTCTGCGTCTGCACTCTGACCGCGGTGGGGAGTTCTCTTCTGGCCTTCTGCGGGCCTACTGTCTTGCACGAGGGATCCGCTAGACCTTCACGCGTTCGGACTCTCCACAGCAAAATGGGATTGCTGAGCGCCGCATTGGCATGGTCATGGACGTCGCTCGTACGTCCATGATGCATGCGGCTGCCCCCCATTTTCTGTGGCCGTTTGCGGTTCGGTACGCGGCGCATCAGCTCAACCTTCACCCCAGGGTCTCTCGGCCCGCGATGTCCCCAGTCTTGCTGTGGACGGGGAAGGTCGGCGATGCGTCTGCGTTCCGTGTCCGGGGATCTCGGGCGTTTGTCCGCGACTAGTCTGCGGACAAGCTGTCCCCTCGTGCTGCTCCCTGTGTCTTCCTTGGCTTCCCCCTTGACGCTCCAGGGTGGCAGTTCTACCACCCCTCCTCTCGTTGTGTTCTGTCCTCCTAGGACGTCACGTTCGACGAGTCTGTCCCCTTCTACCGCCTCTTCCCCTACCGCACTCCTTCCCTCCCCCCGCCACCGGACTTCCTTGTGCCAGGTCCCCCCCCGGTAGACCCCCTCCCCCCTCAGGTTCTTGCCCCTTCAGGTGTGTCCCAGGTAGACGCCGTCGAGCCGGTCGAGGTTGATGGTGACTCTGGTCCTGCTGCGGGTGCTGAGCCTTGGGGTGCTGACTCTGGGGGTGCTGTGCGCGTGGGTGCTGAGCCTGGGGGTGCCGAGTCTGGGGGTGCTGAGCTTGGGGGTGCCGAGCCTGGGGGTGCTGCGTTTGGAGCTGCTGAGCCTGGGGGTGCTGGGTGTTGGGGTGCTACGTCTGGAGCTGCTGAGCCTGGGGGTGCTACGTCTGGAGCTGCTGAGCCTGGAGGTGCGGAGCCTGTGACTGTTGGACCTCCCCTTGTGGCTTCTGGCAGTGCTGGGCCTGGAGGTTCTCCGGGTGCTCCGTCTCGGCGGGAGCCGCTCTCTCCACAGGAGCTGCGCGAGTGGTTTGCTCACCGCTGGAGGCGTGCTGCTGGAGCTGGAGCTTCTTCGGCCGCTGAGGATGCTGGTGCCGCCGGTCCCGGAGCTGCTGGGCCTACGGGTCCTTCTGGAGCTGGAGCTGCTGAGGGGGTCGGTGCTGAGACAGCTGCTGTCTTTCCTGGCGGTGGTCCTACTACTGGTGCGGCAGGAGGTCCTGCCACTCGAGGTGCTGTTGGAGCTGGTGCTGCCGCTGAGGGTGCTGGTGCCGTCCCTGATGTGCCAAGAGTCGCCGCGCGGCCTCGGCCGTACTTCGTTCCACTCCTGCAGCAGGTTCTTGGTCTCTCTCCTCCTGTAGAGTGTCCACCGCCTGTCCAGTCCCAGTCACTGTCAGAGCTTGCCTCCCCACTCCCTGCTCCCTCTCCTTACACTGGTCCTACTGGAGGTCTTGCTGAGCGTCATAAGCCTGCGTCTCATCCCGCATCGCCTGTTTGTGCTGCTCGCGCTAGTGGTCGCGGTTCGCGTCAGCGTCCTCCTCCTGTCCCTGGCATGCACCGGATGTCTCTGCGTCCGTCCACTGCTCCTTTGCGTGCCCCTTTGCCTTCTCCTCCTGAGTCCTCTCTTCCTGCGCTTGCCGACCCGGAGTCGGAATCTCTTCGTGCTGCTAGTCCTACTGTCACGCGTCTTCTTGCTACTGTTGTCACTAACCCCTCTTTTGAGTCCACTGCTGCGTCTGCTCTTGTCGCTGAGCTCGTCGACTTTGCTGCTCGCTGTCGTCTAGACTACGCTGCTAGTCTTGTTGCTGAGTCTGCGTCTGTCTGTCCTCCGTCCGTCGGGGGTGAGTGTGCTCTTGGCATGGACGTCCTTGAGGACAGGCAGGAGGAGTTCCAGTGTCTGGCTGCTGCTTCACCTCATCTCGCGTCTGTACTGCTTGCTCCTGAGGGAGACCCGGATGCACTAGACATCCCGACTCCGCGCTCTTACGCGGAGGCCGTAGAGGGTCCCTACTCCTCTCAGTGGCAGGCAGCTATGGATGCAGAGATGGCTTCCTGGAAGTCCACAGGCACCTATGTTGACGAGGTTCCCCCTCCTGGGGCGAACATCGTCAGTGGCATGTGGATCTTCAGGGTAAAGCGGCCGCCTGGCTCTCCACCTGTCTTCAAGGCGCGGTACGTCGCTCGTGGCTTCAGTCAGCAGCAGGGAGTTGACTACTTTCAGACCTTCTCTCCCACCCAGAAGATGACCACTCTTTGGGTGCTGCTGCACATAGCTGCTCAGCGCGACTACGAGCTTCACTCTCTTGACTTCAGCACTGCTTTCTTGCAGGGCAGCCTGCACGAGGAGATCTGGCTGCGCCGTCCGCCTGGCTTCACTGGGACTTTCCCTCCTAGCACCCAGTGGAGCCTCCGACGGCCAGTCTACGGTCTCCGCCAGGCACCGCGTGAGTGGCACAATACACTGAGGACTACGCTTGCGGCTCTTGGGTTTGCTCCCTCTACTACTGACCCGTCGTTGTTTCTGCGCACCGACACTTCTCTGCCGCCGTTCTACATCCTAGTGTACGTCGACGACTTGGTCTTTGCCACTGCTGACACTGCTGGACTCGCCTATGTGAAGTCCGAGCTGCTGAAGAGACACACGTGCACAGACCTGGGTGAACTGTGCAGCTACCTTGGCTTGCAGATGACTCGGGACAGAGCACGCCGCACCATTACCTTGACTCAGTCACACATGGTGCAGCAGGTCCTTCAGCGCTTCGGCTTCACGTACTCCTCGCCTCAGGCCACTCCTCTGGCTACTCGCCACTCGCTCTCAGCTCTGCCTTCGGATGAGTCCGTAGAGTCGAGTGGCCCGTACCCAGAGCTTGTTGGCTGCCTCATGTACCTGATGACCTGCACACGACCTGACCTTGCATACCCTCTGAGCATTCTTGCACGCTATGTTGCTCCTGGGAGACACCGACCAGAGCACATGGCTGCAGCGAAGAGGGTGTTGCGCTAATTGTGCAGTACGTCAGGCATGGGGCTAGTGCTTGGAGGGCGGAGTCCAGTGGTCCTCACTAGGCACGCGGACGCTTCTTGGGCTGACGACCAGGTTACGCAGCGATCGTCACAGGGTTACACCTTCAGTCTGGGTTCCGGCTCTGTCTCGTGGCGGGCTACTCGCTCGTCTTCTGTCTTCAGATCCACTTGCGAGGCTGAGATCTACGGCGGGGCCATGGCTGCACAGGAGCTTCGCTGGCTCACCTACCTGCTGACTGACCTTGGAGAGCCGCCTCGTTCTCCTCCAGTGCTGTACGTAGACAACAAGGCCATGCTGGCCTTGTGTCGAGAGCAGCGCCTGGAGCACAGAACGAAGGACATTGCTCTCTGCTACTTCCTTGCTCGTGAGCTACAGCAGCGTGGACAGTTGCGGCTTGCGTACGTGGCCTCTGAGGCCAACACTGCTGACGTGTTCACCAAGGCACTCGCGCTTGGTGACCATCAGCGTTTCTCCACTCAGCTGGGTCTTGTACCAGTCTTGCCTCACTTGCTCTCCTCTTGACCTTGTTTGTACTGTCACATTTATATACCTGCTCTTGATTGTTTAGCTCTATATATATGTGTACTCCTGCATGTGAACTGGCCTTGTGGCTTTGTCGTTGTGCTTGGACTGTGTGGTGACTTTGTGATCCACCCTGAGCTTGCTCTGCTTTGCTTGACTGGTCTTGTGACCCCTAGTTCTCCCCCACTTTGCCTATGGGGGTGTGTCAGAACATTATATAGCTTATGCTGTTGTGTAGGCTATAGTGGGGTATCCCATAGGGGGTACAACCCAATTAGGGTTTCATATTTGTATCACTTTCATTCCATAGTCATTCATTCCTGTTCTTTAGTTTCACACCTGTCCCCACTAAACCACTACACTAGTCTACGACACACAATTGGATTAAACACACTATCAAGACGTCAACCATCTGTTTCACTATCCGATGCTTCAGACGCGGAGGACTCCTGTTTTTCGTCTTCAGAGGCTGCTTCATCGTCTAGGAGGCATTCCAGGCCGCAAGATGAAAGGCGGAGCCCATGCCTGCCTCACTTCCAGGACTTCTTCTCCTCGTCGTAGGGCACTTCATTCCGGCATACTGCATCCGCAATGGCATCGAAGGTGTGAGGATCTGGGATCGAGCTCAGAAAAGATGATTCAAATTGAATTGAATTGAATTGAATGTCCACCTGGGTACAACACGAGGCTATATATAGGCTCGACACAAGGCCCCGTAACCAGGTGTTACGCGAAGGTTCCGCGGGTCGCGAAGCGTCCCGAACAGATCCTTACCGAATTCGGTAGAAGGCAATTCGGTGGCAACCGAAAAGCCAGAATTCAGTGCACGCAACCTAGCTCGGTGCTATAATTATAATAAAATATAGGAAAGCACCTAGCCTAGGAAATCAAGCACTTCATGCATGCATATAAATATCCTATGCTAGAAATAGCATGATAAAAGTAAAGGCAAGCAAGCATAGTTGGCATAAGCTGTCGTACTCTCACACGTCCCCCCCCTCAAAGCTGGGTGGCGTGAGATACACCCTGCTTGACAAGATAGTCCTTGAGAGCACGGCGTGCGTTGCCCATATCAGCTTCTGCAACCCAACTGTCCTCAGTGGGGTCGTATCCCTTCCAGCGTATCAGGAACTCGAGAGTCTTGCCACCGCGGCGCCGATGAGAGAGAACGCGCTCGATCTCGTACTCGGGTTCATCCTGTATGAGAACGGGTGGTGGTGGCGGTAGTTGGCGTCCCTGGGATTGTTGGTTGGGGTCCTTGTAGGGCTTCAGTTACTGGACATGGAAAGCGTTGTGAAGCTTCCATGTATCTGGTAAGCGCAAGCGGAATGTAACTGGTGTCACCTGTGCCTCAACGAGAAAAGGACCACAGAAGCGAGGCCGGAATTTGGATGGGAGGTGAGACAGGCTCATGTTGTGCGTGTCAAGAAGCACCTGATCTCCGACTGCTACTGAGTGATCACCTCGCTGACGATCGGCATACTGCTTCTGGGAGTTTTGCATCGTGGTGAGACGTCGCTGAGTCTTCTCCCATAGCTGCTGCATGGTGGTGACGAAGTCATGTGCGGCTTGGACGTGTGCCGGTGTAGTTGGCTGCTGTGGTGTGAGTGGTTCCCGTCCGTAACACAGGAAGAAAGGAGTTTTCCCTGTGGCCGCATGTGATGCGTTGTTGTAAGCGAACTCTAGGGTTGGTAACTGTGTGTCCCAGTGGCGGACGTCGTCCTTGCAAGCTGTGCGCAGTAACTGTTCAACCACTTGATTGAGTCGCTCTGTCTGTCTGTCAGTCTGGGGGTGGTATGCTGAAGACATTGCAAGCTTTGTCCCCAACAGTCCCATGAGCTCCTTCCAGAATTTACTCGTGAATTTGGGGTCTCTGTCTGAGATGAGTGTAGCGGGGATGCCGTGGATGGTGATGATGCGGTCGAAGAAGAGTCGAGCAGTTGCTTCAGCTGTAGCTGTGGCGTTGGTCGGTATGAAGTGACCTATTTTGGAGAACTTATCGATCACCACGAGGATGGAATCATGTCCCCGTGAGGTCGAAGGAAGCCCTGTGATGAAGTCGAGGCTAACGACCTGCCATGGCTGCTCCGGTACGGGTAGAGGCTGAAGTAACCCTACTTTTTTCTACTTGCTGCTCTTCATCCGCTGGCACGTGTCGCAAGAGGTGACGAACTGCTGCACGTCTACTGCCATCCCGGGCCAGTAGTAATACTTCGCTATCCCTGCTAACGTCTTGTTGCTCCCAAAATGTCCCGCGTAGGGTACGTCGTGAGACTCCTCCAATAGGATCTGCCGTAGCGGGGCGTAATTCGGTACCCAAATCTTTCCTGAACCCTTCCTTACAGCTAAGTCTTTCTCCCACTGTAACAACTTCTTGGTCTGTGCTGTAGCTATCTCTGCGTCCACGGAGTACCCATGTTGGAATAGACCCTTGAGCAGAGGGTTCATCCCGTCGAGCTGGATGCCTGCGACATGTCCGAGGCGGCTCAACGCGTCTGCCTTGTTGTGTAGCCCGGGCTTGTAGACGATGTCGTAGTGGAAGTGAGTTTCCAGGAAGTCCACCCACCGCACCTGTCGTCGTGAGAGTGTCGGCTGTGACTTCAGGTATTTGAGACTGCAGTGGTCAGTATAGACTGTAGTCTTGGCTCCATCTAGGTAACACCTCCACGCTTTGAAGGCTATGACTATCGCTAAGGCTTCCTTGTCGTGAATGGGGTAGTTTAGTTCTGCTCCGTGTAGCTTCTTACTGAGGTAGGCGATGGGCTGCAAACCGCGTCCGTGATCCTGCATCAGTACTGCTCCGACTGCTTGGTCACTAGCGTCTGCTTCCACCACGTAGTCCTTGTCTGGATCTGGTAGGATGAGTACTGGCACTGTAGTCAGTGCTGTCTGTTTGTTCAGTTCGCGGTAGTCGATGCACATCCGTAAACTACCGTCTGGCTTTGGAGTGAAGAGAACTGGTGCACCGTAGGGAGAGGTGGATGGGCGGACCAGTTGTCTGTCTAGTAGATACTCTATCTGTTTTTCATGTCTGTCAGTTCAGTTGGACTCAGTCGGTATGTTGCACGTGAGACGGGTTTCGCACCTGGTTCCTCCACGATCTCGTGCTCGTGGGTGCGTGCTGGAGATACGCCTGTGGGTAGGTCGTCGGGCATTATATCCTTGTACTGCTCCAAGACCTCCTCCTCTGCTGCTGCTATAACTAGTGCTAAGTAATCCGTGTTACTCTCGTTCACTGTCCGTTCGAACCGTGCCAGTGTCGTTTCAGGAACGCTCCCTGTATCCGTCAAGCTTCGCAGCTCCACTCGTTTCCCGTTGTTGTAGATGCACACCTTGCTGTTGACCCAATCGATCTCGGGGTTGAACCGCTTCAGGAAATCTCGCCCCAAGATAAAATCTAATCCTTTGATGTTGGTGACTGATAGCTTTGGCTTCCACCTCAACGCACCTATATGCACTTGCAGTGATGCTTCGCCGTGGATAGGAAGCTTCGTACCGTCCACCATGGTTGCTGAAAACTGGGTCTCTTCTGCCTTCTCTCCAATTTTCTCCAATGCTCCGCTGTCACACACCGAGTGAGATGCACCACTGTCCACCAGTGCCTGGAGGCGTCGCCCATTGCATAACACCTCGAGGAGTAGTGGTTTCTGCTGTGCTGAGTAGCCAAAGAGGGTCTTGTTAATAGGATCATACGGTACATCAAACTTAATACCTTCCCTTTTTCGTATACCTGACTCAGCGCTTTCCAACTTCACCTGGGGGGTAGGAGGATTTTTCGGAGGCTTGTATAATTTTTCTTGAGCCTGGATGTCTCCTCTAAGCCTTGGCAGCTGTGTAGGCTTCACCTGTGGGCGACGGGGAGCCTTAACACTGTGCTGCGGGGAGCGAATATTAACTCCACAGAACGCACGACCCTTTTCTACGCTCCGTAGTACTTTGCCCAACTTCTCAGGTACCTGAATAATTTCTAAAGGCTTTTTCTTGGCCTCTAGACCTCCCCTGAATTTTTTGAAGGCTTGTAAACCACGAGAAGCAATATTTTTCGTTAGAGCATCTTTATAGGATACCTTTAACGAATTCTTACTTTCGTGGGTGTTCGACTGGAGTTTGCCGGTCGGTGCAGAATCTTTTTTCGCGGAGCCTCCATTCGCCTCGGCGATTTCCCCTGATGCCGGCCGGTCGTGACGTTTTAAATTCGCGCCATCATTTTCTCCTTTTTTCACCCGCTCCGAAGTCGCCACGTCGTCGCCTTTTCCTGTTTTTCGGATCTTTACGCGATCGCCAGGTCGATCCGCGGCTATTGGCGATTCCCATTTTTTTACTTCGGGGGTGCTCCACTGTTTCCGTCCCGGAGTGCCGCACGTGCTTTCTTCATTTTGTAGCACGACAAAAACTGATGTCCTGCTGCACCGCAAAATTCACATTTTGTCGATATCCATCGGTTCGGTGAACGTGGGGGGTGCCGATCGCTCCGTGCCAAATGTACGGTTCGGCGTGAAGCGTCGTGTTTCGGGTTGACTTCGAGTCAGCGCGTCGTATCGCTCGGCAGCACGCACGATGTCTCTGTAGCTGTTGTAATTCGCCGCAATCACCTGCCGCCGAATCTCCATTTTTAATACTTCGGTGTACGCCTGGATTTTTTCGCCCTCGGTCAAGTCGGTGATGCAGTTGAACAGTAACTCCATCTGCTGCGTGTACTGTCTTACACTACTGTATTGCTTGTGTCGGTGTATCTGCTACCGCGCCATGTAGGTTGTATTAATTGGTTCGAAACGCTCGATTAAATATGCCCAAAACTGCTGCCACGTTTTCTCCCCGCGGGCTACGTCGGTGTAGTAAATCCATTCGAGAGCCGGTCCACGTAACAGTGTCGCTGCGAGCCGAATCCTTGCTGCGTCGTGTTGCGGGGTCGAACAGCCAATGGCATCGAAGTAAATTTCGAGGGTGGCCACGAATTGCCGGACGTCGGATCCCTTCGCGCTTGGATCGAACGCCTCCGG